ACGAGATTAAGGAGATTATTTATTTTTATATAATGAAAATAGATGGGATGATAAGTGAATTGCGCAAGGCAAGAATATATAGGATGGCAAAAATTAAAAGAAACAAAGAATATGATTTGGGTTCTTAAAATAACAACAACACATGCCTCCTCAGTGGATTACAGAACAAATGTGTCTCTCTTTTTTAAAATTACCCAAACACTGTAATGCAAGGAGTTCTGGTGACAATGCAGTGAGATTCTACTCAGAGTAAGCCTATTGGAATGAATGGGTTTGAATTAGTTGTGTCCTTTAGTTTTTGCTTTTTACCTGGATAATGCCTGATTAGGGGTAGGGATTGGTTTGGTTTCTTTCTGTTCTGGGTTTTATTAAATATTTTGTTGTGTTGTTGTTGAAATTCCACAAATTGCACATCAGGATTCGTTACATAGTAAGTCCCCCCCCCCCTTTCTATTATCCCATTTCCTAGGATGTTTTTTTTCTTTTCCACCCTTAGCTGCAACTTATCTTCCCACTTTTATATCAGAACTCTAATGCTCTATTAGAATTAAAAGAGGGGAAACCCAGCCGGATGGGCAGGGTCTAACTAAATCATTATGGTTGTCTTATTTATTTGTGTTTTTATCTTGTATAAAAAATAAAACTCCCCAAAACCAAAGTTGAAGCAAGAAGGAATCTTCAAATATTAAATAAATGCAAGGAGTGAATTGCCAGGACTTGAAAGCCCCCTGGTGATGAATTCACTCTTTCCACCCACCCACCCCCCCTTCAAAAATGTGCATGGAATGAATGAGCTGGCATTCAAATCTATTCTTTAAAAAAGCATATTTCCTATTATTATTGGGTCCATTCTGACAAATATTGGGTCCATTCTCTCACTTCTGACCCTTCTTGATTCCCTCATTCCTGGGGGTTGGACTAGATGACCCATGGGTTCCCTTTCAACTCTTCCGTTCTACAATTCTTTCGCCTACAATTCTGACACCCGCTTCAGCTTGTACCAATCATACCAGCAGATAAACCACATTTTCTCCAGTTGATGGTCTTTTTTTAGGGGGTAGAAAGGAGTGTGGCTTTGTTTTGGAGGTTTTTGTTAGGAAATCCTGACATCCAGTGGATGGGGAACGCATGACAGCTGACGTTACACGCCCAACATCCACTTAAAAGCCATATGGTACCTTGGAAACGCTTCCCCAAAGGATTCTGGGAGCTGTAGTGCTGAGAGCCGTTAGGAGACCCCCTATGCCCCTCCCAGAACTCCCATTCCCAGAGTTCCCGGGGAAGTTGTGGGCATCTCTTTCGAGAGGCAATGGAGTGCGCCTCTGGGGGGTGAAATCAAAGGTTTTCAGCAGGCGCTAGAAGGAAAAACGTAGGAGACGCCTGCGAGAAGCCAAGTTACAGGGAACCAGGCAGAGGCCTTCTGGGTGGTGGCGCCTTCTTCTTGGTGATCCACTACTGCTTTAAGGGAGGTCTTGGAATAAGTAGATTTGTTGCTGATCCAAAACACCCACCCACCCCACTCACACATGAAAACAAAGACCACCACAGCCAACTACCAATGAATAACCACACCCTAGGCCAACCCCAACCTCTCTCACCACCAAAGGAACACAAGCAAACAGCAAAGAACCTGCACAAACAACGCTGACACCAAACCCTACATATAGGAAGTAAAATATAAAAATCGCCACCCCACCCCACCCCACCCATCTTTCCCCCCTCCACCTCTTTCCCCTTTTCTTCCTAATGTCAAATGAAAATCATTTGTAAATGTGTTACATGGGGGGGGGGGGGGGACACGAGAGAGATACATTGCACACTTTTGTAAATCAACAAAATCATTACAGTGGTGCCCCGCAAGACGAACGCCTCGCAAGCCGAAAAACCCGCTAGACGAAAGGGTTTTCCGTTTTGGAGGCGCTTCGCAAGCGAATTTCCCTATGGGCTTGCTTCGCAAGACGAAAGCCCATAGGGAAATCTCCGATCCGCTGAAGCCTGGGCGCGCTGATCTCAGCGCGCGCAGGCTCGGCATGCCGGCAACTCTCCGCGAGCAGCGGCAGCGCTGCCGCTGCTCGCGGAGAGGTCCGCGAGCCTGGGCGCGCTGATCTCAGCGCGCGCAGGCTTCGGCATGCCGGCAACTCTCCGCGAGCAGCGGCAGCGCTGCCGCTGCTCGCGGAGAGGTCCGCGGAGCCTGGGCGCGCTGATCTCAGCGCGCGCAGGCTTCGGCATGCCGGCAACTCTCCGCGAGCAGCGGCAGCGCTGCCGCTGCTCGCGGAGAGGTCCGCGAAGCCTGGGCGCGCTGATCTCAGCGCGCCCAGGCTTCGGCATGCCGGCAACTCTCCGCGAGCAGCGGCAGCGCTGCCGCTGCTCGCGGAGAGGTCCGCGAGGCCTGGGCGCGCTGATCTCAGCGCGCCCAGGCTCCGGCATGCCGGCAACTCTCCGCGAGCAGCGGCAGCGCTGCCGCTGCTCGCGGAGAGGTCCGCGAGCCTGGGCGCGCTGATCTCAGCGCGCCCAGGCTCCGGCATGCCGGCAACTCTCCGCGAGCAGCGGCAGCGCTGCCGCTGCTCGCGGAGAGGTCCGCGCGAAGCCTGGGCGCGCTGATCTCAGCGCGCGCAGGCCTCGGCATGCCGGCAACTCTCCGCGAGCAGCGGCAGCGCTGCCGCTGCTCGCGGAGAGGTCCGCGAGCCTGGGCGCGCTGATCTCAGCGCGCCCAGGCTTCGGCATGCCGGCAACTCTCCGCGAGCAGCGGCAGCGCTGCACGCTGCTCGCGGAGAGGTCCGCGAAGCCTGGGCGCGCTGATCTCAGCGCGCGCAGGCTTCGGCATGCCGGCAACTCTCCGCAAGCAGCGGCAGTGCTGCCGCTGCTTGCGGAGAGGTCCGCGAGCCTTGGCTGGACAGCTTTTGAAGGCAGGTGGGGGGACAAAGACTTTCGCCCCCGCCAACCTTCAGAAGAGGTCCAGGACCTCTTCTGAAGGCTGGCGGGGGCAAAGTCTTTGTCCCCCTGCCTGCCTTCCCAGGGGCTTTAAATTGCCCCGGACAGCGGAGAAGTCCTCCGCTGTCCCGGGGCAATTTTAAATGCCGCCCGCCAGCATTTTAAGATCGCCCCGGACAGCGGAGAAGCTCTCCGCTGTCCCGGGTTTTAAAATGCTGGGGGTGGGAAGAAAGCCCTTGTCCCCCCAGCCTTCAGAAGAGGTCGGGGGACAGACTGTCCCCGGACCTGGTCTGAAGTCGGTTTCCCTAGGAACGCATTAATTGATTTTCAATGCATTCCTATGGGAAACCGTGCATCGCAAGACGAAAAACTCGCAAGAAGAAAAAACTTGCGGAACGAATTAATTTCGTCTTGCGAGGCACCACTGTAATAAACAAATAAATACTAGTCATAAAAAAAAGAGGCCTCGTCACCTGAAGGACATCAAAGCCCATCTGAAGTCCCAAAACAAAACTATCAGTTTAGTCTTTACGGTTGAATGGAATCACAAGTATAATCCTATGTTTGGGGACATCAGGTGGGCTTTGATGTCCTTCAGGTGAGCTTTGGGGTGTATGGCTGTGGCATTTGCCTCCTAGGATGGGTCATAAGGAAAGGGTAAAAATGGGTGTCATGTTATTGGCCAGTGAGAATGCAAGGGGGGAGTAAAAGTTTTGAAAGTCAGTTGAGGTTTGGGAGTTGGAGAAGGAAGAGGGAGGAATAGGCAGTGGGTTGGTCAAGTTGTATTGTGAGAGAGTGAGAGGAATTGTTAGGGAGAGTCAGATAGATAGCTGGAATAATCAGTTTGGAGTTGTTAGGAACTAAAATTAAGAAACTGAGAAGAGAAAAATAAACGGAAACCATACGCTTGTTCTTGCATTTAAAAATAAACTTGATTATTTGTTAATGTTAACAACTGTCTGGACTCCATGTGTCCCCGTGAGAAACGGGGTGGTGGCAGCCAAGAAAGCAATCACCGTGGTGGCCACATGTGGTGGGAGTGTGAAAAGACGGAAAAAAATTGGGACTTTATATATAATGAACTGAAGAAACTTTTTAAGTATACATTCCCGAAAAAACTGGAGGCTTTTCTATTAGG